AGCTGAGGGTCTCAGTAGATTTCGGGCATTTCAAAGGTTCTTTCAGGAATTTGACCTTCCTGATACTGCCCAACCAAAATCAAACCAAGGGAAGGGGCTAGATCAGTTCAGGATGTCAAGTCTAGGCGAAATTCCTGTTCGAATTCTTTCCCACCAGAAAAGCTATTGGCCATCACAGCTATGAAAATTACGAGAGATTTGTAACCACGAGCAATCTGAGCATTTGGAAACACAGTTAGGGATAAGTTTTCTTGTTAGTAGTAAGTCCCAGTCTTTATAAACTTTATGGATGATTTGTGAGTCGTTCGTCCTAGTTTTTTTCCACAGAAATCCGTTTTCTTTGCATCTCAGACGAGTCCTTGTTCGGATCATCTCGCAATATTTTGTCAAGAGGGAAATCGGTTCGTTTGCCTTGCTCGCTCGTGTTTTTTTTTCAATGAAATTTCGTGCAATTCGGGTTCAAGCAAAACACAAGTTTGGCAAGAACTTGGGTAGCGCGCCTACCTGTTGGGCCCTGAAAAGGGCGAGCGTAACTGATCATGGGTTGTCGATCAGTTTTCAGCAACCTTATGAGTAGCGTATTACGTCTATACAACTCGATATCGCATTGAGGGGATATCTTCTGCTGCGCTATCCAATAAAAATGATGGGTAAACCCCACTTGACAGAGGGTGAAATGCTAAGATTCGATCCGTAGGTGGTGTGGGTGGCTCTCAAGATAGTAGCAACCCAACTGAGGTCTTGTTAAAATAACCACCGTAAATATGTTAATTCTTTTTTCATTGCTGAGAGGAAACAGAATCTCACGTATCAACCTAGGGCGAATAACGCCAGAAGGTTTATATTTATTTTGAGATGTCACTAATCTTCCTGGTAGTTGCTAGCCCCTACTAGCCCAAAAGTCTGCTTATCTTTTCGAAAAATCTGGCTTAATCCATACTTCGCAAGCAAGCTGGCCGTGTCCAATAAAGAGTTGGTCCTGGGAGTGAAGCCAAGCTATGCTGAACAACCTATGCTGTACAGCTGTCTTATCTTTATCAGCAGTGCGTATTTCACGAAACCCCGGAGAGAAGTCTGAAGACTCAAATATTCGGTCCCAAGCTGATGATCATCGGCATGAGTAGCTCGCACTTCACTTACAGGACGAAACTCCATTGAAAATTCTCAAACCTTGTCACACTTCAACGAGATCGCTCTAGCCGAAAATTTTCCCATCCCCTAATTCGTGTCGGTAGTTTCCACCCGAATTTTCTCAAAGCAAGTTTGTCGCTTTCACCGACTGTTGTTTTGATTTGTTGCACTTTCTGTAGGATCGACCGCCCAAGGACCGATTGGAGCCGATGCACTCTACCAGTCAGGATTTTGAAACCAAGTGCGACACGTCCTGTGGGCAGGAGCTGCACTCCGCTTGCTATTGGCCTATTGCAAGGAACCAATCACAGCTCGGTTCACCCGAATGTGTCACGTGAAATCAAAGCTGGTTCAGACTCGCATGGCCAAGGAATAATCTGGCCGAAGGTAAAAGCCTACGAAGCAATGGCGGGGGCATCCTACCTTCTTGACATCAGCGTATAAGCTTTGATTGTCTGTGCTAGCAAAAACAAAGAGAAGGAATTCTACACAGACGTTTATTACATATCAACTAAAGCTAATTTATTTTCGCGAAATGCACTCATTTACATACCAATTTGGTTTTGACAGGAGACTCATCTGGAATCCAGCTGAATAGCTCGTTCATGCTGTTCCTAGTTTATTTTCTCTGAACGAGTAACCCAACGCTCCAGTGTCCTAACAGAGTCACCATCCACACTACAGTGAGTGGTTTTCACGAGGCATCAACAGTGTGTAATTGTTGCATAGCGTGCATAACTATAATTATCCTGTGCATGCAGCAGGTGAAATGAGATAATTACACTGATCGCCCGGATCCATAGTGGCATTTTATACGTTGTATAAGACATACCATAGTAATGAACCTGGCAATCCTGACTTTCAGGTAACATACACTACGCTGAAAGATCAACCACACCTGAAATCATCATTATCACCAAAAACAACATTACATCAGTCAGTGTTCAACAGTAATGTTTCGCTGTCCTACAACCATGATTTATTTGAAACCCTTACTGTGAAGAAAAGAATAAAGGTGGATGGGTAAGGGATTTAGTGCTAGCCTACATTCCGAAGTGCCTACACCTTCAGACATTCATTTAGCTAATCTGGATAGGAAGTGACATCGGTTGGCAGCCGTATCTTGAAGCGCAGTGGCGATCACTCGGTCCCCATCCCGGTAGGTGAGCAGCACTGACAGCACCCAAACGTTTCGTAATCTCCTTCATACCCCTCTGCCAGGACAACAGTTGGCCACTTCTCTGCTTCTCTGATTTTGGCATGGAAAACAGCACTTTCTTCCGCAAACTATGGTTCGCCATACGCAATACATGGCCCAACCAACGAAGCTTCTGGTGCTGCACACATACTTTACCGAAAATACCCGTTGCACAAGCGAAAATTCGCTTTTTAATAACCTCGTTTCGGATTCGTCGACTCCAACCCATACGAACTACGGTTGCCAGAAAACGGTTGTCGAACAGGGTTTTGGAGACCTTCCAGCTTTCGTCTCATGATTTCATCGATCACAGAGTTGAATGGGAATGGAGAAAGTGGGCATCCTTGACGGACGCCGTTTTTTGTACGGAAGCTTTTGGAG